TCTAAGTGTACTAGTTGGTTCCTGTCTTTATGCTGGATAAGTTTTTTTTTTTATTTAATGGCATTGTTTGCTCTTACAGAGGATTTTTTAATCAGAGAGTATTTTTTAATTCATTAGAACACTATCCATGTAGGTGTGCTCGGTAAACAATACCCAAAACCCAGAATATAATCATATAATTAGTTGCTTCCTTCCCAATCAGAACTAAATTTGCGAATGCTAAAAATCAAATATCAATGCCAATATAAATCAAATGTTTCTTGTGGACTACACATAGCAGAAGATAAATGTCTCTTTTTTACATAAAATAACAAGAATTCCCACTAGAAAAAAAAGCAAAGCAAAATTGTCAAATCCAAAGTAGATGATTGCTATGTCTATCTAGTCACCTTGTATTTGAAAAAAGGGTCAAAGTTTTCAAAAGGATATGTCCAATGTAATCAATTAAGTTTAATATCTTTCCTTACAGTGCATAGTTTTGAGTTCTTATCATAAATGTTTCTGATTTATTTCCCTCAATTCAATTTAACTCAAAATATTGATAATTTCCTTAATACAATTAAGATACATTTCAATCTAAGCTCTGATGTCCTATGAGAGGAGAAGAATTATTAATCACCTTTCAAAATTTCTTTGTCTTATCAGATATAGTCTCCTCTATATCATTTCATATTTACACAAAATAAGCATCATGCAATCACTACATTTCCCTCTATTATAAGACTGCATGCAAAACATTAGGTTCTGTTTTTTTTTTAATGCCTAAAATAATTTTCATTTTCTATCCTCAAGATGGCTGAGTCATCATTATGGAAACCAGAAGTCAGGGACTACTTCTCAAAAAATGTTTTATTATGATCAAGAAAGAGTAGGGCAATTCATTGTAGGATAGATTAAAGACTATCATAAAATTTTAGATTATTTTGGTGATACAATACTGCAAGATGGATTAGCATTAAGTCCCAGAAATCACAAGAAAAGACCTGCAAAGTGGGCCTTCTGCTCGACTCTGAAGTTGGTAGTCACTTTATTTAACTAAGAAAGAGATTAATGCTCACTAGAAGAATGTCATAGAGGGAAATAGTCCTAGAAAATAATTACCTTGGTTATATGGATATTCCGCATTAGTCTCTAAGCTTTTTGAGTTATGAAAGGAATAGTGGAGTTACTCGATGTAAAATGGACAAAGAAATTTAATAATAAAATGAATAAGAAGAACACTGAAGTGTTCAGAGGCTTTTGTTATATTTCAATTAAAAAAATTATAGAGAACGGAGACTCATATAACTATATTATGAAGTATTTCTAGGATTGGCAAATAAATAAAAACTGAAAACGTTACTTTAGATTAATAGGTTCAGCACAAATTAGAAAGTTATCGGCTTACTTTATTGTCTATGACTTTTCTCAGTAACTTGTCTGCTTTTGTTTTAAGATTTTATCAAAACTCTAAGGTGATTGAACATATTTTCCAATTGAAGAAAGTTGGTTTCAAGTGCTAATAAAGGGGATGAGTATATTGATTTTCTCCAACAGTAATTTTATAAACTTAATTTTAATGTAAAAGTTTATGTGCTGTCACCAAATATCCAAAAGTATTATCAAAATAATAATCTGGAATAGAAATCTTTATTTTACTGACTCATAAGTAGATCATCTATTGTGTATTTGCTAACAATGGCAATGTGCCGTATCAAATATTCATTGCCGGCAGAAAATTTGACCAGTAATATATTTACAAAGAGTGCATGAGCAACTTACATGTTTGCTAAAAATTAATATAAAAATTTTATATGTTTATCTCATTCAAATACATTTAAATAAAATAATAGATCAAAATCAATTGTCACGTTGATGGTCCTTCATAAAACAATCTTGACCATATACTATGACAACTCAATAAAGTTATTTTTTTCCTTCATTTCCTTCTTTGATGATTTAGTTTCTATAGAATTTCTATAAATCGTATGGATCAAATGGTACCTTTTCTCTTGCTTAGTAAATTTAAAAAAATCCTAGAAAGAATCTGAAGTATGTGCCTTACTAAAACAGTATAAGTAAGTATGATTGTGACCAGCTGAAAGCTCCAAATATTAAGGAAGATGAAACTGTCACACAAGGAATACACTCTGAAGAACTCCCAGGATGTTGCAATTATTGAGAAATCTTACTAGGTTTTTTAGGGGCTAGGGATTTAGCTCACTTGATGCTTTCCTAACATGTAGGAAGAACTGAGCTTGATCTCAAGCACCATGTAAAATCAAGAATGGTGGCACATGCCTGCAATCCTAGTTCCAGGGCAGCGGAAAAAGCAGGCTCAGAAATTTAAGGTCATGCTTGGCTGCACAGAATTCAAGGCCAGCCTGTGCTATATAAGATCCCTTTTCAAACAACGCCATCAAAGTGTTGTTCATGCTTTAGTACTGGCCTTATAACACTATATATAAAAAACAATAAGCAAGGTTTAATCATTTCAAAACTATAGGCTAAATTAGCAGTGAGCTTTCAAACATTTCTGCAACTGAGGAAAGTGTGAAAACTATTTCTGTCTTTTGATAAAGTTTCCTTGGGGGAAATAGTAGAGAAAATTAACTAAGGTAACACTATAAGGGATAAGTTGAGGAAATGTTTATTTCCTCCAACTATTTTTTAAAAAATCTCCTTTTCTGATAGAATCTCAAATTTATATGACTACCATAGAAATTTTAACAATAAGCACTTTAGGACTAAGTAGCAGCTAACTGGGACCTGAAATTGGTAATTAAAGCAGCCACCCTCCCACTCTCATTCAGTCTTTCATTATACAAAGGCACGCAGGTTACCTAACTGGCCTTTTCAGGTAGCTGGAAAAATGTGTCACCAACAGGTACAAAAACAAGGTATCCAACTTAAATATCATGTGAAGTTAAAATTACAGAAAATAGTCTTTACCAAAGTTCAAAGAAACTGCATTTTGCACTGGATAGATTTTTAAGAGACTGGTGTACTGGAAAACTAATGTGTGTCACATTACATACATCATTTGGTGTACTTGCTTCAGGGGACCTAAAACAGTGGAGAGAAGGAAAAATGCAAGAATGTAACTGGGTGGGAGGTAAAGAAGATGGAGTATGCAGCACTCACTACAGGCATCATGGGAATTTCTAGAAGGTAGTCCTTGGAGGTAGTCTGACTCCCACGAAACCAAGACACATTTTCTCTGAATATTGTTGCAGCAACAGACTCAAACTAAACTCACCTTTTGGACAAATTCAAAGAAAGAGTTTTAATTAAACATTCTTACTGTCTGTGAATTCTCTCTTCCATGACTGAGAAACTGAAGAGATGTTTTTTTTTTCCTGAGAGGCGGCGCATGGTGGGGGAGAGAATGTGTGTGTGTGTGTGTGTGTGTGTGTGTGTGTGTGTGTGTTGGGGGGTTAGTGGGAATCCAGAAAGCTAGAATTTTAATAGCAAATACGAAAAGAGAACAAGCAGCAGAAAAGATGAGCCATTGCTGGACTTTGTCTTAGTCATCTTTATAATCCCCATGACACCCAATGCACTGCACAGAGGGGGCAGTGGATAAATAATGAATTAGGTTTAATTCAATTCACTTGCACTTACATTGTGCTTTGCAGTTACAAAGCATTTTCCCCACATATTAGATGAGAAAAACAAATTAAGTGAGGAGTAGCAGGGCAAATCAGTGAGAAAAGGAAGCAATACAGATACAGGGAAATCCAGAAGAATAAGCAAACGTCCGAAAAGGTGGGGTAAAAATCAGGGGGAAATTGAGTTTCTCCCTACTACTTTCAATACCTTCCAAGCAACCACCCACCTTCCATTTTCAACTACGTGGAGCTTAAAAAGTCTGATTGCTAAACAAGACTTAGAGAGGGGGCTTCTTCATATTTGGAAAGGGTATTTTCAGACATAAGGCTTGGAGCCTACGCATCTTCAGCTTGTGTGCTCGGGTACCACCTCAAAACTCTAATATTTCCCAAGCAGTTTCCAAGCGTGTCCAAGAATTTTTTATTTCAACACAGGCATCCCTTTCTCAGAGTTCGGTCTGGGAATGGATTGGAGAGATCCCCTACAAGGCCCTCAACTCAGACAACAGAGGGAGATAGTGAGACAGGAAAGCCCAGAGACTAGAGAAAAAGCCCACATTTGCGTCTAGGAAGAGGGCGAAGGTTTGAAACTGGTTATTAGAAATTGTCGGGGATGGGGGGAACCTTCAAGATGGAAGAAAAAAAAGAGAGAGAGAGTACTTGAATGCGCACCACTTTAAACCTGACGCTGAGTCCTTAACAAGAAGCAGCGAGAGGTCTAAAGCCTCAGCACACCTCAACCTAGGAAAGCAAAGGATATGCTAGGGTGCGCAGGAGGGAGCCTACATGTATCAGCAGGGATGCTGTCCCAAGGGAAGCGTGTTTTCCTCACCCCAAAGTAGCGCACCCCCTTCCTGATCATCGTCAGCCTAGCCTGGAGGAGGGGGGTCCCCAGCTTCCAACCTGAGCGACTGCATCCTGACCTCATTATGCGGGCTTAAAAGTTGCCAGGAGAGTTGGCACTGGGGAAGGCACTTGGCAGGGTGAGACCTAGTAGGGGCCTCAGGTTTCCAGGAACAAAGGGACCGGGGAAGGGGCAACCGTGAGAATAGGTCCCGGGGGCTCCTCCCTTAGCTGAGAAACAAGGGTCGCCGCGTCCTCCGGGCCCGAAGGCGTCGAGGGAAGCGGGAAGTGGCTAAGATGCCCCGGGATTCCACCGCCCTGCTTCCAGCTTCAACCAGGTGGCGCCCGCAGCCCTCTTGCTCCCCGCGCCCCTCTGGCTGAAGACAAAAGGAGATCAGGGTCCCCCGGTCCCTACCAGAGCCCGAGGACCCCCCGTCCATCCCCGGGAAGGATCTCTAGCAGTAGGCTGGAAGCTCCCAGGACGGGCTGTGCCCTGGCGGGCGTCCCTCCCTCATACCGGGACCCTGTGCCCCAGTGTCGCTTTGCCCTCCGCACAGAAGGCATTACCTTTCATCCAGTCCACTACTTGACTCGGAGACCATTTGCTCACTGGTTCCATGATCAGAGCCATGGGCGGCGGGGTCAGTGCCGCGTGGGACGCGGAGCTCGGACA